TTTGCGTTACAGTATCTATCTCGCCTCGCATTGCGGACTTTTTTTTATACCACTGAGGTGGCAAACAAGCATACGGTCCACCTGATAGTAAGCGGTTACCGTAGCATATGAACACCGGCAATACCAGAGGTATTACGCGCGCGTTGCCGACCCTAAAGAAACTTCTTTACCCCCCTTTTGAAGAACCCCATGCTGTAGTCTCTTGGGAAAACCTCGGCAGGGAGCTCATTCCATAACCTGAGTGTTCGTGGGAGAAAACATCTCTGAAACCGCGTTGTACCCGACCATTTAGGCTGTAAGGTATGAGGGTGAACTCCCAAGCTACAGCTCGCATAAAACATTAATATCTCATTATAAATGTATTTTATATACAAATTAATGTTAATATTTTATTCCATATATTGATTTATTAATATAATAGTATTCGAACGAACTTCGATTTAATTTTAATGAATAAAAGTTACTCAATTAGCACAAAAATTTTATACACCTTTAATAACCTTGTTCAATGGCGTAACAATAGGGTAACAGAGCATACTGAGGGACCCATAGCGCAAAATGAAACTGTAATATCAAGTTTTTCTCAAACAGAGTGAGGACTCCAACCATTGAATTTACCACTGGCTTTAGGTAGTATAATTACGCCATTGAACTTGTTATAAAAAAAATCTACAAATTCTCTAAAAGAGCGATTGTAAGAGAAAAATGTTTAAAAATGTCATTTAAACGTATACTATTTAGAATTTAGGCGTTTTGTTTTGTATCTAGATATATTATTTGTAAGCATCTTGTAAACGATTCTTGCGTTTAAATAATAAAGAACTACGATAAAAAAAAAAGATAAATCATGAAAAAAAAAAACTTAGCTACATTTGTCTATGTCAAATATTATTTGGACTATAATCAAAACAACAGCTTTTATATTAGTGTCGTTTCTAGTCAGTCAATAACTATGTTCCTGAGACACGTTGTGAGATTATATTTTTAAAGTATACTTTTTTAATATCTATCTATATCTGACGGCTAAAATACTGAAATGGATGACTATTCTAGAGGAACATTTGACTAATGGATTACGTAAATTAGGTTAAGTTGGATTATTGAAATTTTTAAATTCCAATGGGATCAATTCAAAAGCGATACCATCTTTAAACTTATCTCTAATATTAAAATTCCAATTTGATATCACTGCAAAATCTTTATTATATAGACCGATATGAACAAATTTTCTAATAGATTTGAGTTAAAATTATTACAATTTTAGTTTACAGCGGTCCATAAAGCAGTAAGTTCGCGAAACTTATTTCTTAACCTAATGTTTTAATTAGATTAAAACATTAGGTTAAGAAATAAGTTTAAAGAAATGACACCTCAGAATCGACCCTAATTTTTTCTTTAGTTACTTACTTAGTACCCCTCTAGACAAGGTACAAACGAATCTATCAATATAATCTCTTCAGTCGGCGCTCACATAAGAAAGAACAAGACAACAAACATCTCCATCTCATTCTATCTCATAGGCTCGCTAACGATAACGATTCTATACATAGAATTCTTTGTACATTGTCTACGGACGCTGGTTTAATTTCGTTGTCGGTATTTTTATTCGACCTTAAAATAGAAAGGTACATTTTAGTCATTCATAACAGTATTTTTAGTCACTTATTTAACTTTTAAATTGATTTTAAATGACGTCAATTTCTTTTATTCCACAAACAGTGGAGTCGAAATGTTTCGAAATACAATTGTTTTATTAATCAGCTAAACAGAAATGAATACTATTAATTAGCATATAAGTCCAATTTTGTTAATTTAAACACAATTCAGTTATTGTATATCGTGTCTTATGATTTGTTTCGAAGTCTATGGCACTTTTTTTTAATAATCGTCACATTGGGCACAAATTTTAAATTTTTTCTCTTTAAATTATTATATTAACATATGATATTAACATAATTTCTATTATTCTATAATTATTAAATAGTATACATTATTTGCCAACCAACTAAGGTGAGAGAACTTTAAACGTACCCATTTAATTAGTAATTACTAAATTTAATTTAAAATTTTGCTCAATATTTTTTTAAATTGATTTCATACGATGTAATTATTTTCTATTAGACTAGGTATTTGTTAACATGTACCTAATAATAATATATTGTAATGATAAACGTGTGAAGGTTGCACATCATAAAAAGGAGAAACTATTGTCATAAAATGGATGGTAAAACATTTACCATCATAATTTCCGACAATCATTATTCACTAATTCCAAAAAGGAGTTTCATATTGGGCCCAATCGCTATTATAAAAATTGAGAAAAGTACGAGGATTATACGAAAAATATAATTAAGTTAATATATCTACTGCATAATTTATTGGCGCGAAAGCTTTTTAAAGATTTGTTACGTCATTTTATTTTTAAAATTTAATTTTAAAACGACGCCTATACACATGCATTTGTTACGTCACTTACATTCAAAAATTAAATACGCTCGATAGTGAAGCCATTAATATATAAAAAAATCAACACAATCACGAAATCCCACGTGTTCGAGAGTTATTCAGCAATCTTCCTACGAAGTGTTCATTAAATATATTTTAATTCGGATTAGTATTTAATCTAAGACCATAATTCCTTAATCGTTCTTAAAAGGAAAGTATTCGATTCATAGACAATTTTAGTTATTAAGAAAATATTTGGGGCCTAATGAATTAAGTCCATAAAAAGGGATAGCAATAGATCACCTAGTTGATCCAGTAAGTGTCATAGATACTCCTTTTACTGGTTGATAATTTATTTATAGGTACTTTAATATTATTGAAACTGTTTTTAACTATTCTATTCTGTATTAGGTACCTTTTAAAAATTAAAAATATGTATAATAAAAAAATATATACACAATAGGTACTCCTATATTCTACGAAACATTCCAGATGTGCAACCATAGATAAATTATATAAACTTCTTGAATGATTGCCTCTATGATGTAGAGCTAAAGTGACAGAATAATACTAATAAATTATAATATTAACAATTGAAATTATTATTAATTGAACAAATACATAATATGCTTTGGAATTATTAAATAAATAAAAAGTGGTATGTACTCCCTATAGTATATGTTACATTTTTGTTTATTTTTATTATTATATATTAAATTAGCTGGACGTGAACACTAATTATAATTAAATCCGCCATTTTCACTATACTAGTGCACATTATAAGTGGTCAAATTAAGTCATACATTATAAAAGATAATATTAATACTCCAGACTTATAAATGTAAATTGGACTCTTATTCCGTGCTAAGCCACTCATTTGGGCTATTGTGCGTATAGGTCGTGGCTAGTACAGCCAACCCAGCTCCGCCTACTCCAGACTTACTAATGTATAGAATTATTTTGTGCTATTATTATCTCATAATAGTATATTTATATGTTATATACTATATAGTACATTTATATACCTATATTACAAATATAGTAAAACTGTAACAAGTAATTGTCTGTACATGGGAGATATTTAAGAAAAAATAATATGAGGGGTTTTAATAAGACTCAAGAGGTCAAAACAATGATTTTTGAAAAATTTTTCTCTCTCTCCATCAGTATGGATATCGCACAAAATGTAGTAGCTGTAACGAATTGGATGCGGTTTTTACAGTTGTGCTCCTAAAAAACTTTCTGTTAAAACTTAAAATCTGGTGTATGTTTCATCTCGATACGCCATCTAGGAGTGGTCTACTTCATTGTATTCCTACTTTAAAATCCGCGCGTACAAAATTGGCGGGAAAAAAAAAACTTAGCTATAAAATGAAATTGAAAATATATTGTTATTTTTTATTATTCTAACCATATTTATTATAATAAAAATACTATGTTATTTTTGCTCTGCATCATGGATAGATATTTTATAGAATGTTGTTGGTATAACTGTATTTGGATTTTACCTTACAGCGAGAAACTCTTGTTTCGAGATTGTCTCTGATCGAACAAAATATTTTCTCTCGGTATTTATATTTGAGAATTCAATAAATTATACTGTTACTCATATTGTTTTGTTCTTTTTTTAATTAGCCCCCTAAATACGTTTTCATTAGCATTCACAAGAGAAAGTAGGCGCCCGACATCGCTGTCTCGTTCTATCATACATGCAATAGCGATAACATACCTATCGACAGGTACGTTTGTCTAATGTATTGATCATGACAACGCTTGGTACAGATGTTCTGGCACACAAGCACACGGCAGCGAGCAAGGGAAGGGGTTGGGGGGGGTGAAATATCTGTATCGCGATTAATCGCTGGTGAATTCGTCACTATGGACCGATTAACTTAACTGCATTCTCACCTATCATCCTCACTAATAATTACCTTCTTGAAATCATCGTGATTGATTTATTGTTGAATTCCCCACGATAGGCCAACTGACCTACTTCATCCTCACCAATCATCTATCACTGGAGATGACCAGTGTATACTGATAGTGCAGACGGATTTGCCATTCCGTTATCATCCCATTAAAAAACTGTACTTTTTATTAATAGAATAAATAAGAAACTAACCAGAGGGAGACTCTACAAAAGTCGATTGCTTGGGTACCTCTGTCCGATTCGTGTTTCAACCGTGAAGCAGTTGTGTTTGCATGGCTGTGTTTCGGTTTAAAGGCGTGAATTTACAGGGTACAGAGGAATAACACCTGAGTCCTCAGGAATGGCAACGCATGGGGGGTATCATGGGCGAAACAGTATACTCTGTTGAAACAATATACTTTCCATCAGGTGGGCCGTCAGCTTGTTTGCCATTCTAAGTTGTATAAAAAAAAACTTTTTAACGATGAATGGATGGATGAATGAAACGATGTAATCTTTCACACTAAAACTTCTGAATGGATTTGAATGAAATTTGATTAACACAGGATACTAGATGTATCACGCAGATGAAGCTACGGGGTATATAATAAATATATGAAGAAAAGTCGATAGGTACATACTGTTTAGTATAAATAAAACTCTGTATTACCGTATAACAGCCTTTATTCTTTCCAACGACTGAGCTTTGCCCAACAAGGCCATCATTTCAGCGACGCCCGGCCCTTCCTTGAGCCCACTAAGCACTGACCTGAGAGTTTTCATAAGTGTTGGAAACTTCACATTATTAGTTGACGAGAATTCCCTCAAGCGATCCTTAAGGTTTTCTTGATCAAACCTTTCTATTCTTTCCAGTGTGTCTAACAATTTGATTAACAGGTTCCTATCAAAATCTATCTCGGTGTTAGACGGTAGAATCCACAGGAAACCGAACTCTGAACTGGCTAAATCTTCTATCCTTGTCACCCTCGCTGTGGCCCAGTTCAGAACGGATTTTATGTGTTCTTCTGTGACATACTTCTTCTGTTCTGGATATTTGGTTTCGATTAATTTTTCTAGCTTACTCGATAAATCTTTCGAGAGTTTCTCATCTTGCAGTTGCCGCTTTATCTCCAACCTGTTACATTCTTCTAAAAGGTCTGGGTTGAGACGGCTTGGATGTGATGATATCTTGTCGATCTGGAACTGTATCCCAAAGGGAATATATTACAACCAACAGAATTTTCAGGTAAAGCATTGTACATTTCACAATAAACAACTCGAAAAATATTTTACTTGTCTTTTTTTATGCAATTTAGAATTGCAAACAAGCTGACAGCCCACCTGATGAAAAGTAATAACCTTCGCCTATAGTCATGAACAGCACCGTGGACATAATAATAGTGTACTGTGTCACCGATGATACCCCCCATGCGTTGCCATTCTTGAGAACTAAGGTATTATGCCTCTGTACCCTATAATTTCACTGCCATAATCCACCCTACAAACCGAAACACAACTATGCAAACACAACAGCGTTACCGTAGAATATTAAATGAGCAGATGTAGTCAAGTAAACAACTTGTAAAAATTCGTCCTCTAGTATATATATCAAGTTCTTAATTTTTTTTTTTAATAGAAATTGCGAATCTTCGGTTACTATTTCATTTTCACCTATTAAAAAAAATAATACAAACTATACATATATACATAGTAAGGGAAGTTAGTGGGTTTAATTCATACCTCCTCCGCCAACTCGTCCATGTCCTTCAACCTAACCCCCGCGCCGGGTACATGGTCGAAACCTCCACCGGACAATGTTATATAATTCACCAATGCCAGTGGATAAATTCCTGAAATTTAGGGGAGAAAAGTATTATTAATAATGGGTTCTAACAGCCCCATTGCTAGCAATATACCCTGCCAGGGCGATCACTATGTGATTCCCCCCCCCCCCCCTCTTTTTAACATCAGGAAAAATGCATCAGCAAATCCACACAGCTTAGGGACCATATGGGTACTGCGGAACTCCTACCGAGTAAACGACCTGACGATATACCTCCCGTCTCTAAGCGACGGTGCCGCGGGTTCCCGTTTTGAAGTCTACCGAGACACCATCACGAGGCCCATTGAAGGGTGACTCCCTGACTGTGGAATCAACTCTTCCGAACCTTAAGGTCTCTATCTTGTAAAGAAAAATATTTTACCTCTATACCTACTCTGTACGAGATTTAGTAAGAAATGTGCAAACGTAATATAAAAGAAAAAGTAACTCCATACCGTTCTTCTTGTAATCTTCCACTTTTACATCACTTTGCCTCTTGCTAAGTTTCGTACCGTCTGCATTCACTATCAAAGGCAAGTGTCCGAAGCGCGGTGGGGTCCAGCCAAATGCTCTGTCAAAACCAACAACAAATTTGTATTGACATAAAAAACATATTCTTGTAACATGCAATTGTAGCTGTACCCGATTGTATTTTGTTAAAGGAGGGGCTGGCTGAAAATCAATGCTGTTCAACTTTACACATTGCTCTGGGACACTCACAGCATTTTTTTTTATACAACTTAGAATGGCAAACAAGCTGACGGCCCACCTGATGGAAAGTGGTAACCGTCGCCTATAGGCATGAGCAGTACCATGGACATAACAGAGTTTACTGTTTCGCCAATAATACCCCCCATGCGTTGCCATTCCTGAGGACTCAAGTGTTATTCCTCTGTACCCAGTAAATTCACTCCATATCCCACCCTTCAAACCGAAACACAGCTAAGCAAATACAACTGCTTCACGGTTAAAACACGAATGAGACAGAGGTACCCAAGCGATCGATCGATCCTCAGGTGCCACATAGATATCTCATCATCATCATCATCCTTTTAGCTGTTAACCATCTACTGCTGAACATATGCCTCCCCTACAGGTTGCCACTAACAACGATTCCGAGCCACCTGCATCCACTGACTCCCTGCAATCCATTTGAGATCTATTAAATCTATAGTCGATTGCTTGGGTACCTCTGTCCCATTCGTGTTTCAATCGTGAAGCAGTTGTGTTTGCATGGCTGTGTTTCGGTTTGAAGGGTGGGATATGGCGTGAATTTAGTGGGTACAGAGGAATAACACCTGAGTCCTAAGGAGTCACAACGCATGGGGGGTATCATGGGTGAAACAGTATACTGTGTTATGTCCATGGTACTGCTCATATCTATAAGCGATGGTTACCACTTTCCATCAGGTGAGATGTCAGCTTGTTTGCCATTCTAAGTTGTATAAAAAAAAAGTATAAAGTTTACTCTGACTCTCTTCAGAGAAGCTTCCTCCCGCGAATACTCAAGTTGTGGAATGACCTCCCTGCTGATGCTTTCCCTAGAAACAACAGCATGGGATTCTTCAAAAAGGGCGTATTAAGTGCAAGCATAACATACCTGGTGTTACAGGCATCCATAGACTACAGTAACCCCGTTTACGGTCAGACGGGCCTTATATTTGTCTACCACCATATTTTTTAAACCAAATTATTTGTATACAAAAACAACTTACCTATAAATCAATAAATGTTTAGTTGTTGATATTTGCCATTCCACTCCTCTCAGCACGTGAGTCACCGCCATCAGATGATCATCAACAACGTTGGCGAAATGATATGTCGGGAACCCATCACTCTTCATAAGTACGGGGTCACCTTCATTCATTGATACATCATATGCAATCCCACCAAATATCAGATCTTCAAAGGCCTGGCAGTCTGATGTTAGCTGCAGTAATAATTATCATACAATAAATAAAAAAATATACAGATTTTGTTGCAATGAAATTAATTGAAATGAGTTTATTTGCAATAAACAATCTAAGAGAGACTAAGAGATCTAAGGGAGACTGTACAAAAGTCGTTTGCTTATGCACTTCTGTGCTATTCATGTTTCTATTGTGAAGCAGTTGTTTGCATGGCTGTGTTTCAGTTTGAAGGGTGGGATATGGCAGTAAATTTACAGGGTACCAAAGAATAACACCCGAGTCCTCAGGAATAGCAACGCATGGTATTATGGGTGAAACAGTATACTCTGTTATGTGCATGGTATTGCTCATATCTATAGGCGACGGTTTGCTTTTATAAGTAGCATATAAAAATCTGAAATTTTTTAACAAAAGCCCCTATTTTTACTAGTTTACTAGCTGCCTTAAGCGATGTAGGCATGCAAATATATATAATACATTTTATAATAAAGCGAAAACAAAATTATAAATCGATTTTATGTTATTTAAATATCATTATCATAAATCATTTCAAAAAAAGCTTCAGTGAATAATTTTTTTGTGATATCTTCCCCAATTCCTAACTGCTTATAATGAATACACAGCATTGAGGCGGGTGTGATCTGGCGACACCTGGAGGCGCTGATGTTCGAGACGCAATAGAATCAGTAAAGGAACGCATTAAATTCGTTGTTGGTGCTTTTTTAATGGGTGGAAATGGATTGATGCACTATCAAAATGCGCTGACAAAGCACCAGCAAATAATTAGAGGTGAGGGTGAATGCAGATCAGCAGGCCAATCCTGACGTATTCAACAAGAATCAATCAAGCCAACTTTCGGGGGGGAACCATATCGAGGTTGACCTGATAGGATATAATCGTTGGTATTTTATAAATAACCGTAAAGCAGTTGTTTGCATGGTTGTGTTTCAGTTTGAAGGGTGGGATATGGCGTGAATTTACAGGGTACAGAGGAATAACATCTGAGTCTTCAGGAATGGCAACGCAAGGGAGGTATCATGGGCGAAACAGTATACTCTGTTATGTCCATGGCACTGCTCATATCTATAGACGTCGGTTACCACTTTCCATTAGGTGGGCCGTCAGCTTGTTTGCCATTCTAAGTTGTATAAAAAAAAAGATGGTAATTTAATCTGACGCACCTCGTAAAATATAGCTTGGTAACCTTATTTTCGTCATCAGAGGGGTATCATGAAGATTAAAAATTTATCCAGAAGTGCTAGGTTAAGCCCATCCATGACCCCATACTCAATTTATTGTAAGTGAAATCAGTAACTAAAATATATTTGACATTATAAATCTTATTTGAGTTTTTAATGTATAAAGAAATTTAAAAATGTTAAATTTCAGAACCTTAAATCTAATACAATATGGAACGCCCGCCTTGATCTTGTCTTTAATCTCTTGTTCACTAAGGTTGCGGCATTTGTTGTCATACTTTGGTACTCTCTGACTCTTCACCGCATCTCTGCGGAGTACATTCAGACGGCGCTCTGTACAGAAACATTTGTATGCAGAACCATTCTCCAGCAACTTTGTTATGTGATCTCTGAAATATTTTTTATTTATTAACAAACAGAAATGTTCATAATTATAGAGAAAGTTCATTGCTTAAAACCTTTATGCAGATTTTCTTGTATATAAATCTATACACAGAAAAACAATGAAATACAAAAACTGAATATAACTATCATTTTGGTCTTTTATTAAAATTTGAACTACAATATATATTTTAGGTAGCCATTTAATTGTGATATAGAATGGGCCAAACCTTTCTTTCCCATAGGCATTGTAAGATTTAAGAAGTGACTAAGGGAACTTAGATTCTCTTAGTCGAGGTTTGGTTGAGAGATGGTGCAGTAGTGTACCTCTTAAAACATCACCAAAGGCAGATTGCGGTTGCCAAACCACCTACCAAATGTGGCAACTACTCGCAAAACTCCCCATAAGAGAACAGTCCCCAATAACCAGTTAACAACTGATATAAAAATAAAAAAAATATATACTTTAATATTTGCTATACAAAGAGGTACCAGTGCATACATATTTTTTCTTTCATTTAAAAGTTTCCTCTTGTCAGTACAACTAATTCATGCATTTTCTACCAGTCAGCTCTATCCCAGGCCATATCTTTGACCTCCTATACCCACATGTAATTATACTTTGATCTTCCCCTTCCAGATTTGCTCTCTATTTTTTCTTCTATTATTATTATATCATTATAAGGTGGACAAGCATTTTGCCTCTAAAAATACCTTTGAACAACTCGATCTAATGGGATTCGATCCCATATCTCTCTACTCTCCAGCTTATGTGCCTAATTAAATCGCTGAAGAAATACTATCAGTAAGTTATTGAATTTTAACCTAATAATAATTAGAATACCCAAGTGCTATAGGTATGTCATAAGTGCACAGGTTTCACATTAACAATATTTTCAAATAAATTATAAATTTATTTTAATTGCATAAATTGTGTAAAAAATATATTTGTATTAAATTGACTTACCACGACTATATTAAATGATCCTACAAGTAATTCCCACAAATACTATGAATACAATTAAAAATCTGTGAAATATTCACTTACTGGTAAATCTCTAATCTTTCGCTTTGTACATAAGGTCCATATTTATTACTCTTACCAGGGCCCTCGTGATATTCAATCCCAGCCCATTCTAAGTCCTTTATCAAAGCATCAACAGATCCTTCCACTTTTCTCGTCTGGTCAGTGTCTTCTATTCGCAAAATAAATACTCCGTTACGGGATTTAGCAAATAGATAATTATATAAAGCTGTTCTCAAACCACCCAGATGTAAGTAACCCGTTGGGCTTGGAGCAAACCTCACTCTAGGTCTCTCTGCATATCTTCTTTTACTAACATTAAGTGTAGGTAAAACTAATAAACGATTTATGATATTAAGTCGCATGATATCAAAATTAAATACAAAACTCATAAATAAGTGTGTATTGTGCCATTTAAAAGTGTATTAGTAATAATTATTAAATTTAATTTCAAAAATTAAAGAATTGATTAAGATATTTGAGGTTATATTACGCAAAGTTGGTATACAAAAAATAAGTAACTGTCAAAATGAGAGCAATCAGCTGTTGACTTCTAAGTTCAGAAATTTTATACATGCATCGCAGATCATTAACTATAACGTGTATATACAGTTATGTACATTTTAAATGTTGGTATATTTGTTGAAATACAATTGTCATGTCTATCTTAATATTATTATTTAAATAATACTTAAACTTGTATATAACATATAAAGTCTTGTATGTAAAAATAACACATCAGTTAGTAGCATCTTGAAGTCAACTATTTGCAAGACACAATTTTAATCAAATTATTATAAATCACTATAAATAGATTTCATTGTCAATAATTATTTAATCAAATTTCATTCAAATTTTTAATTATGTAGTTCCATTATCGGCGAAATTTGTAATAGCCGTATTAATTTTCTTAATTCTAAACGTAAATCATAGACAACGCGAACTATAGAAGTTAATGTTACAATCAGGTCGTTCTACCATTTTAATAGTTAAAATAAATAAATTTATTTTGTTATTATTCTTTAAAGGATTATTAATAATATATAACTCTGATATAAAATGTAATAATAGACATCATACAAATATAATATAGCAATATATTGTTAAATTTGTAGAAATATAAGCAAACAAAGGAGTTTTAGATTTTATAACAGAAACACTCCCATAAAATCTCTATGATTGTTATTTCACTTTGGTTCCGATGTCGAAATAACAGTGAAAGTCTTATAAAATAATAATAATCTATCAAAAATGGTGAGTAATCATGCCAAAATAATATTTTACTGTTTTTCTAAAGCAGGAGAAGAAATATAATCTCATAAAAAGTATATTATCTCCTTTTATAAAATGACAGCTGAACAGTGTCCTAGGTTATGACGTTCTTGCGTTTTCTTTCAGAATAAACTAAAATCGTCACAGAGAGACAAAGTAAAAAAGTTTGTGGCATTCACGCAGACAAGTGAGACCACTGCGATATACTGTTTGTCGCAAAACGACTGGAAACTCGATATCGCGAGTGACAATTACTTTCAGAATCCCGAAGCGTACTACAAGGACCCAGTGAAGTCTTCAGTGGATAGAAAAAAGTTAGAACAGTTATTTGCCAAGTATAGAGACCAGCAGGAGACCGACAAAATCACAGTAGATGGAGTTATGAAGTTCCTGGAGGATCTGAACCTTAGCCCAGAATCAATATTAGTTTTAATCATAGCATGGAAGTGTAAAGCGGCCGTGCAGTGTGAATTTACTAAAGATGAATTCACCACGGGCCTCCTAGAACTGGGAGCGGACAGTGTTGACAAATTAAAAGCAAAATTGCCTACTCTCGAAACAGAAATTAAGGATGCAAACAAATTTAAAGATTTTTATCAGTTCACATTCAATTATGCAAAAAATCCTGGACAAAAAGGCCTGGATCTTGATATGGCTATAGCATATTGGAATATAGTACTCAGAGGAAGATTTAAATTTTTAGATGCATGGTGCAAATTTCTCACGGTATGTACAAACGTCACTATTCTGTTCCATAAATCCTGGACTTAAAACAAAAATAACTCCATTTCTATAATGGAATTAAATTTTCTTAGCCCTGACTAATATTTTTCTGTATTATGTTATCAAGTTCTGCTTGAATTTGTAGAGATAAATGAATTATATAAACATTATATTCCAAATTTTAATTATCTTTACTCACATTGATTTCCAAATATACTCTCACTCCCCCCCCCCCCCCCCCTTCCTTTAAATATGCCTATATGCAATGTTTACATTTATATTTTTATTTTTGGCAAAAGAGTATCCATGCAGTAGATAAAGTAATTGAAACATGTTAGTACTCTGCCTAAAGTACAAATTTTCTCTGAGGTATAAAGCTATCCTATATGTAAATAAATTCCAAATTATACCAAGTACTAATACTTTCACCATCACCACTGTGATATAAATCATTTAATAGTGTAAACAAGTATGTATTAGTGTGCAAACAAAACATATTTATTGTATATTTGAAGATTCACAAGAAAATTATTTTTTTATTTAATTTATGTATGACAGCAAAACCCCCTTTTATAAAGGGGACCTATGTTCAGCAGTGGACAATTAACAGTTGACATAATAACGATAAGACTGTGGTTCTGGCATAGAATAGGCCACCCCTTCCTTTGCTATGGATGTCATAAGAGGTGACTAAGGGAGTGTGAGGGATAGGCAGTAGTGTCCCTCAAAACATCTCCAAAACCTAACAGATTGCCAAGCGTGACAACTACTGGCAAAACCCCCGAGGGAGAGGGAGAGTTATGTTCAGCAGTGGACAGTTTTTTTTAATGGAATGGTAACCCTGCCTGCACTATCGGTATATATTGGTGGGCCACCAGTAAGGGATAACAAGTGAAAATGAAAAAGCAGGTCAGTTAGCCCACTGTGATAAATACACCTGAAATTCAGCACAATGGTTTCCAGGAGGACTATGTGAAGGTGGACCTGACAGGGTATATTGCTAGCAATCGGACTGGTAGTATGCACAGCTAATTGCATCTCTTGTAGCGATAAGGTCGCCCATTGTTTTCCCATTGTTGTATTTCTTGTAATTGTTTATATTTATAATAAGTTTACTATTGTAATCTTTTGGAGGAAACAATAAAGAGTATCTATCTATCTATCTAATCCCTCCTTCCAATCAAACCTTAAAGGCCAATATGATGAAACTGTATGATTGTAGATGCATTTTCCTCTAATAGAAATTAATGTATTTGATTGTTTGCCAATTGGCAAGTACCAATGATTGATCCCAGGAATTATTATTATTGTGGAGTTGCTTCTGCTCGCATCTTAGCACATTTACAATTATGGAAGTAGATATCCACTTCAAGATGACATATTAAGATGAAATATACACCAGATTTTAATTTAGACTTTTAGAACACAACTATAAAAACCATATTTAATTTGCTTTAGTAATATTGATTTTTTTTTTATGTAAGAAAGAATGGCAAACAAGCTGAAGACATGAGTAGTACTTTGGACAAAACAGAGTATACTGTTTCATCCATGATACCGCCCATGCGTTGTCATTCCTGAGGATTCAGGTGTTATTCCCTATAAACTCACTGCCATATCCCACGCTTCTAACTGAAACACAACCATGCTAACACAATTGTTTCATGGTAGAAACATGAATGGGACAGAGGTGCCCATGCATACTACTTTTGTACCAAGTTTCCCTCTGATAAATGCAATAAATAAGTAATTCTGGAACAAATAGACAGGTGATATTTCTAGAAATTTGACTTCTATCTCATCTTATATAATTTTTTTTAAATATCTCCTATACAGCCTTCATCTAATTAAAGTTTTATTATATTATTAGTAAAAAATTTTAAAATAAGTTGAACTGAAAAGAGAGTAGGGTTATTTTTTAATTTTAATTTGTCACTATTAACATCATAACTATGCTTTTAATCCAAACGCAAGAACCAATAGCTGCTTGGGTATGACATATATATGTCATATATAAAAATTTTCTTTAATTCTGCATTTTTTATTTAAAAATAAACACTTACCACAATAAACTACTAAACTAATATTATAAACAGGAAATATTTGTAATAAATAAACTCGAAAAATACTAAAACCATTATAAAAATACTTTTTCCTGCAGAATGTTATATTATCAGTGATTAACAAGGTCAGTATTTTATTTAAAAAAAAATCTATCCTTTACCCATGCAAAGCTGGGGTGCCTCACTAGTTAAATACAGGGTGTCTGAAAATAAAGGTGACATTTGTTTTGGTTATTGCGTGAACGTAACTATTCTGAGGGGCGCGGGGGGGGGGGTTATGTCATTCGGTAGCCTAGCTTCTGGGAATTTAGTCGCTATGGAGCGTTTCTCGGGAGCGGACCGTGCGTTGTGCGTACACGAGTTTTACAAAAACGTTAATTCATGAAGCTAATTTCCATCACAATGGCCATATAAACGAACAAAATTGCCGATACTGGAGTAATCCAGAACACAAACATCAGAAACCCCTACATTCGCCTAAAGTGACCGTATTAGCTGCAATGTCGACGCGAAGGATTCTCGGTCCTTACTTTTTTATAAATGAAAAGGGACGCACAGTTACAGTAAACTCGGACCATTATGTGGAGATGGTAGACAACTTCTTCGTGCCTGAACTGCAAAACTTTTCTGGTTATAACCAAAGAACATAGTTCCAGTAGGATGAAGCAACTTCACACACGTCCAACAGGTCTTTACTACGAGTTCGTAAAATTTTTCCAGGCAAATTGATATCGAGGAGAGGTGACATAAATTGGCCTCCACGAAGTCCCGATTTAACCCCTATAGACTTTTTCCTTTGGGGTTACGTCAAATCTAAAGTTTATGCCATCAAACCGACTTCCTTGGCACAATTAAAAGGAAATATCCGTCACGAAATGGCAGCCATCACGGACAATACATGCCGAGCCGACATAGAAAATTTTAGAGCTCGATTAAATGAATGCTGTGAACGCAACGGTTTACACTTGAACGATATCATTTTCAAGAAATAAATTCACAAAAAGTGTATTTTAATATGTAATAAAAATTTTTTTAATAAACTCCTTGTTTAATTTTTTATCGATTTTTTAAAATGTGAACTTTCTTTTGAGTCACCTTGTAAAATGAAACAAAAATATGATACCTATTGATTTATTATCATAATTTTTAATTACAGGATAACCACAAAAGATCTATACCAAAAGATACATGGAATTTGCTATTAGATTTTGCTACACAAATCGACGATGGTATGAGCAACTACGATGCGGAAGGTGCATGGCCTGTGCTCATAGATGACTTCGTTGAGTGGTGTCAGAAACAGGGGCTCACCGCAGATGGCGTCAAAGCCCTAGAGCCTGCGTCGGGCTAGCTGACGCCCAATGGTTACCAGCAGTGCGACGCGAGGGTTCACACACACGTGGATATGGAATGCAGCCAACGCAGCGTCGCGTTTACCTTGAGGACTTACATTCTACTGCTACTCTCGCGTCTTGTACTGTACAGTCTAGAGCTGTGTACAGTTGAGTGGTTTGCTATATTAATCGTGTTCGAGTTGTGTAGCTGACTAAATTATGCGTCAACATGTGATCCAGAGATGCAGTAAAATACCATTGTATGTGCAAGTTTAGAAAATTTAGAGATTTGCATTAACCATATGATACATACATGACAATTGTGTATGAATGAGTACAAGAAAAGCAAACATAGTCGCCAGTCAGTTAAATTATATGTATGAGTACAGAATACACATCTGTGGCAGTCAGTTACAGCGTCCTACTAATGAATACAAAGTGGCAATATTGCGCTCCACTGTATAGTGCTCTTGAACTATTCGTCCGTTAGGTAAATTCTTTGTGTAGATTCTTGTTGATCCAACCTTCACTAGGATATAAATTTAACACAAGGAAAAATATTTTTTTCTTGTTAAAAGATATATAAGAAATATTTTTAACATTCTTTCAAATTTTTCAACAAGGTTCTTACGTTATAGGTTAGAGGATCGTAAGAATAATAAAATTAAGATGTAAATATGTATATACACTAATGATATTACTTATTTAGTATTAATGCTTAGTTTGTTTACACTTTTGTTTCATTGGGCCTGCTTTTGATTTTTTCATATTGAATATTTATCATTTTAATACATTGAAATCAATGGTCAAAACTAAAACTGTACCTATGTATTTTTTCTTTTTAACATTACATTCAACAATTAAATGTGCAACTTCTGTGTGCATCTTATTTTTGCAGAGCTAAAATTTTTAAAGCTGACAACCCTGTTAAATGTCGATAATAAATAGAGTCTTACATTTACCACAATGGCAACACTCGACAATTTCTTTTAACTAAAATTATTTAAATTGCATCTTCACTTATTTGGAAAATTCAAAACAAATATTTAAAAAAAGAGAGGAAACAGAAAATTTTCAATATTGTACATACTCAGTGCGCTCAAGCTTCAAAACCTGTGTTAAATCCTACTACATATTCCTTTTGTACTAATTTCGTAAATACACAATCGGGATTTAACGCGATGTAAAAATTTTTACAAGTAAATAGTACCTACATACCTGTTTCTTTATTGCCGACGTTTCGACGTAGATTGCACCACGTCGTAGTCACGCCTGTAAAAGCTTTTACATCGCCTTGAGTCTCAATTGTGTATTATTTACTGTAGTTATCATTTTTTTAAATAAATATTTACTGTGATTATATTTTTTTACTCAGTGCAATAAAGTGTAAAATAAATAAATATATTGCTGACTAATTTAAAATTTGGTAAAACAAAAAAATGTTTATTAATTTTTACCAAAATCAATCAATCTTTCCTCCTTATACACAGTATTAATGTACATCTATACACAATCTAAACTTTTGGAGACCACGCGGCGGAGGACTTTGTTTTGAATATGTAGTGATAAATAAATGTTGGTGGATTTATAACCACTTTTATTGAACCTAGTATGATCTTAAGCACTAAAAAAAAATGCATTAGAAAAGCCGATATACTGTAATTGTATGTATCCATCTAAAAACTTTTTATTCAAATGTTAATGTGAATACCCATCCTTAACTCTGCGAAATAAGGCACACATTTTGTATGTATTTTGTTTATAATGCTTAAATTGCACTAATATGTTTTCATAAAAGAAATTTTCGCGGATTGTTAAAATATTTACCTCCCATCATTTTCCATTGGTATCTTCTAGTTTGTTACTAATTATCTATAATAGAAGTGTCTTTAGATTCTGTATAAGATTTTTTAAACGACTAAACACAATCTGTGATTATCAAGAAATAGTTTCATTTGCTCTATTTAGAGTATAGTATATATGTATTATTTTACTTGTGAAATATTGTCATTGATTTTTAATAATTTCTCTGTTTGATGGATATTACTTAAAAATACTGTTGCCTTTAGAATAATGTTAAAAAATCATAATTGCTGTTTGGTACTTAGTTTTAATGTACAAAAGAAGAAATTGATGTATTAAAATACAATAAATTGTTAAATAAAAAAAAAATCTATTACTAGTTTTTATCCGCAACTTCGTGCTTGTTACTCGGATATGTATATTGATAGACCGGAATTAAAAAACTTCATCCCAAATACGTGTATAAATAAACGTATTTAACATCTGAGCGTGACCTTAAAAAGAGTATAATCTACTCTTAGAGATATTTTTGCGCATAACTGAAAGCTCCACTCATATCCATGGGCGCATATTAATAATTCTGAGATGAGCATAAAATAAGAATCAGGGATTGAACTGACAACCATGTGAAGGTAAGGCAATATTTTAAATCGTTGCACTACCAAAATTGTTATAACACACCTGAAAAATTGTGTAGGTATCTTAGAAATATTTCTTTTTATATTCTTTGAGAGGCTCATATTCAACAGACAACTTGGATATTTTTAAAGATGTTACTATACATTTAGTCGGTAATTTGCTTCCGTTTTGTGATTTACCTACAGAGCATATCGATATAGTTTTGGTAAAATATACAAAAGTACGTATTTATTATCTATATACAATGCCGGTCAACAAAAAAACAACAAAAACAAATGACAATTTTCAGACTGACGGCTTGATAGAAGTATTGTCAGTCATATCAATATGTCAACTAAACTTCACTGACATCATGTTTAGCGATGGGCCAACTCGTATAGTTTTGAATTCGAGTAAACCGAATTGAAATGGTGGCTGATTCGAATCGCAGCTCGAATCAGCTCGCATTCACTTCGTATAGTCAATACTGCAGTTGAATATGAACTCAGTAGGTCGGTTACTTAACTCGCTTTAGATTTAAATCGTCGATAGCGCGAACTCGCGGGTTTCAATCAATTCGAATAAAATATACTAGTGTAACGTAGTAAACACTCAGAATTCATATTATCAATCTATTTTAGTTATAGAACAGTTTTGTTCTTTACTTTCGAGCTATTAATTTGAAAGAAAAATACAAAATACTAATATTTAAAATATAGGTTTTTATTTTTAACCGACTTCCAAAAAAGGAGCTGGTTCTCAATTCGACTAATATTGTATGTTTTTTTATTTGTTTGTTACGCGATTACTCCGTCAATTGTAGACCAATTTTGAAAATTATTTTTTTGTCGGAAGGGGTATTATCTTGAGGTGGTCCCATTGTCACCATGTCAGGATCTGATGATGGGATCCCAGGGAAATCGAGAGCAACTCTATACTTTATAGACACCTACAATATTTTTCATGTACTTTCTAAAGCTATTCAGATATTTGCGTTTGGTAGTCATCATCTTATGTTGTTTAACTGATGATGGGTGGTACAACTCCTTAACGGTTAGGAGTTAAGAGGTAATTCCTGAAATATTAGGCACGTTTAGATCGTTAGTAGTTTTTTTCAAGTAATATTCAGATGAGCTGATGATGAAGTACAACTCCTTAACGGTTAGGTTTATATAGGAATTAAGGGATAATTCTATCGCAAAAAAGATTATGAAAATTCTTTTTTTGTCACCAAGTCAGAATCTGGATCCCATGAAAATTGAAGGAAATCCTAAAAATTTGTAATGTAAATATAAAAATATACTAAAAATGGAAAAATAAATAAATTTGAAATAAAATCAACAGACTTCAAAAAAAAAAAAAAAAAAACGTAAAAAATACAAAAGTAAAAAATAACAAAATACAAATTTAATCCCAATCAAATAAATTTCATTTCATTTTATAAAAAATTTAAATAGTTATGTAATCACCTAAAAAAATACATAAAAGTTTAATACTTATATTTTTACTATTTATTTTAACATTAATTAATTAACTAAATATTAAAAAACGGAACAGTAACATTTCTAAAAAAAAAAGCTCGTCGTCAGCCAATCATGAACCAATCGCCTTCTCTTCCTTTAACTTGCGCCTCATGTGATGTTACTATCTCATTCTGCTTCGCAGCTTGTTCGGTTGGTGTAGTTATGTCGAGTATTATACACCACACGCTATGGCATGGTGCAGTGCAGGTAATAGGTACATACACATATAAGTAAATAATTATAATATATTAATAATTATATAATTCAAAATACTTGTACAACGCAAACAGTAAAGCATAGATAATTTACGAAAGTTCATTGTATGCGACAAATCTATGGATTGGTAACAGTAACTTGCTTTTCCAGTCATATAAAAATAATAAATATATTATTAGATTGACTTTGACTCCATAAATCTCACTCAACACTATTCTGTTAATTTATAATAAAAAGTGCCAAAATCTCAACTATCACCGCACCATGATATAGCGCGCGGAGTGTAACTGTAAAACACGCTGACAGAAATATCACGCACACGAGAGTCTTGCTCGTTGTATAATGTTTCTGTTGCGTCGCACGCACACAGCCACACAGCATTCACAGCAACTGAATCGAGTTGACGTTATGACGAACACAGTCGGCCGAGTTGCGTGCTACAGTGATCCGAGCGTAGATCGCATTCATATCACGGTTGTAACGTAGGTAGCGCCGTATTGGCTTTATACGAGTTGATTCGAATTGATAGAAAAGCTAGTTCGAATTGAGCCGGCGGCAATGCAGCTCGAGTAACTCGAGTTTTTTGATTCGAATCGCCCATCGCTAATCATGTTCTGTGTACCGACAGTGACAATTGTTGGTTGATTGATAAAAATATATTTCTTTCTTTAATTGGATCATAGTTTCTCGAAATAATTTTAAATTATAAATAAAAATGTCTGTTCGTTTGGGTGGAGCTTTAAGAGAACTGAGAATCCATTTGTGTCAAACGGGCAAGCAATCTGCTGGTGTTAGGTACTTTTGATTACATAAACATTTTTATAACCTTACTTCTATTTAATAACAATAATCAATAAAATGTTAAAATTACAGAGAGTTTATTCAGCAAAACTATGTGAACATTAAGAAGGAGAACCCCAATTTCCCGATATTGATTCGCGAATGCAATGGCATCCAACCACGCATCTGGGCTCGATACGGTACGTTCCCAATCTTTAATTACATATGTACAATTTTATCGATTTTTATGATCTATTTATGTATTTAGCAGATAATAATTTATATCTTAATTTATACTTCTAAACAGGCCAGGTCACTCAGTATTACTTATCTACTTGTGTTACTGCTAGAACCTATGGTTTAGATTCATCTTCCTACTCTTATCCCAACTATCATTTGGGGGCGGCGTAACATGTTTTCCTCTTCCATTCTTTTCTATTCCCAGTCATTTCCGCATTCACTCCCATTCTGGCCATATCGTCGTCGTATATGGTTTAGATTACTAAAGAATATAAACATTATTTACAAATCAAAACTTTCAATCAATATTTTACAATTATAAGCCGACCGATTATATACACTAGTTGATTATATATTATTTATTAAGATAAAAAAAGGAAAAGATACAAAACATTTTTTTCTGTCTTTGTATATAGATATAAATGTAATTCAGAATTTTCATGGTAACTATTGTATAAAAAGTTTATTAATTCATAATGGACACTACCACTGGTAGTCATATGATGTAAGAGTAGAGAAAGGAGTAATCCAATATAATATTAGCATTACATATCCAGGTTTTTAGCTTAAAAATCTCAAGGTTGTGTCCTGATTTATTAACTTTACAAATGGCAACCCTAGTTCAATCGCCATATTCAATAATTGCAGACAGAGGTTGTGAAGTATGCATGCCTCTCACTGACAAGAGCAGCAAAGAAGTAATGGAAGTGTTGAAATCACTCATTAAATAAAGTATAGACAACTTCCATTACAGTATTTATATTTGTTGGTAATAATTTTATTTGTCATTACTTGAACAAACTGTTATTGTAATGTAGACTATCAGTATTAGAAGTTATGGCAGAAAATCACTTGAAGGCCATAATTATTTTTAAATCTTTATGGTATTTGCTCGTATGAAATTAATTCAAGTAGGTATTTTGGCTGAGCTATATACAAAAAATACATTAAGGCAGATCTCAATCTTATTAATATAATAAAATAGTAGTCATAATAAATATAATAGTTGTTTTTAGTAATAGTAGACTATTTTACCTATTGTAGCTAGACGAAAAAATCTAACTTGCACAAATAGCTAGATAGATAGATTTATTTGTCAGAACATTGTTTTTACAGATATTGATTTATTGTGAAGTACAAATGTTCGCCTTATAGTCTAAAGCATGCAAATTCATTATTGGGTAGGTTATGTTATTATAGTTTACATCAATTGTTCACTCGATTAATAAATAAAGTAATAAATATAACTAAATAAATAAAGTTGATATTAAATATGAAAAATATAAAAATATTCTAAAATTGCATGATTGAGTTCATTTTATTAGAAAGCTTTAATGTTTATTTTTTTCTATTAACTGTATATAACAATTCTCAAATGATCAATGGGTTTTATAAAAAACAATAAGATCACATTATGAGCAAAATTGTGTCTCATATTAATTATATATTAGCTTCATATAAAAAGAAACACGTAGCATAGCACATTCTTAGAATATCAACACATGAGTGTTTCTTAGAATATGAACACATTTGGATCATTTCTGAAGTACCATATCATTAAATCTGTTTCTAATATTAAATTTTGAATTAGACACCACAGCAAAATATTTAAGTTTCAATTTAAATGGAATTTCTAATAGAATTAAGTTAAAATTATTATTTAATTTACAATGGTCTATAAAACAGTAATTTCACAAAACTAATTGTTTTATTGGACGATAATGGAATGTTAACCCCGCCTGCGCTATCGGTATACCCCGGCGAGGCATCAGTGAGTGCTCATAGGAGAGGATGTAGCAGATCAGTTAGTCCATTGTGACTAATTCAACAATGAATCAATCACGATAGTTTCCAAGGGAAACCGCGTGGAGGTGCGTCGTCAATTTGTATTTTCGTATTTTTATTTAATGGGTGATAACAGAATGTTAACATCGCATACAATATTGGTATACACTGTCGGGACACCAATGAAGGATTATTGATGAGGAAGGAAGTAGGTCAGTTAGTCCATCGTGACGAATTCTACAAGTGTTAAGCAAGATGGTTTCCAAGGGGAACCGCGTAGAGGTCGACCTAATAGGATATATCGCTAGCAATGGAACTGTTAGATCCCTATTACTAACAATCCCTTTCCGCTATATTTTCGTATAGAAACTGTATTTTGTATTATTTATTATGATTACAGAGAAAGGCGTCGAACGCAGCGCACCACTTACCAACCTATCCGCCAGCGACGTATTATCCACACTTAGACAACTCGTCAAGTAAAATGTTTGTTCTTTTATTTGTTATGTAAATATATATGTTAGCAATTTATTGACATTTTACTTAAGAACATTCTTCACTACCTTGCCAAGACATAGTAAAAATATTTGGTACGAAAGGCGGGCTTAATGCATTAATATATATTATGTAGTGATTTTTTTTTAAATTGTCAGAAATAAACAAATACAGACGTATCTATATATTGACTCACAAATTATCATCATCATCATCATCATTTCAGCCATTATCCGTCCACTGCTGGACATAAGCCTTCCCCATAGACTGCTAAAAAGAACGGTCCCGAGCCACCTGCATCCAAGACTGCCTGCAACGCATTTCAGGTCGTCATTCCATCTAATGGGGGTTGTCCTATACTGCGTTTACCCGTACGTGGTCGCCACTCAAGAACTTTTCTTCCCCATCGGTTGTAAGTTCTTCAAGCTATCACAAATTATATAATATAATAAAATAGTTGTGGATATTTATTTAATCGACTAGGTATGAACTTTAGTCTCCCAATATGCTTACCTAGGAAAGTATCAGTACAAGAATAAATACTGAAAATATAAATCAATACATAGCAACCAATACACACAATAATATAAAAGAATAATAGAAATGAAATTCAATATTTTAACTCTCCTTCCAGTCCTATTCCCGTATCTACTTATTTGGAGTTAATGTTTTCTTCTACCATTTATCTCTATTTACAGTTATCTCACTAGTCACTCACTTTCTGGTCTTGTCATCTTCAGACAGTCCATCAATCTCTTTTTGGGTCTCTTAACTAACTAAACAAACATTATATGGCCATCCGATAAAACCACCAAGCTAGAGGCAAATATATCTACTTGTGGATACTAGTTCAAACCATTGTTGAATAGAGCAAAAGAGAGGGAAATTGCTTGGCGACTCCTTTGTCCATTCCATTAATGATGGAATAGTAAATGAAATCAGTTCACCAATAGTGATGAATTCACCAGGAATTAACGACCATGGTTTGCAATAAGGAGTGCATGGAAGTTGAAAGGGTGTATTGTTAGCAATGGGATCACTAGTCCCCATTGCTGATCTGAATAATTAAAAACAATGTATAGACAAATAAATAATTTATTACTTTTAAACATACTATAAACTAACAAATTTGTAAACAATTAAAACAGTTCTATAGAAATACAATGGTAAATATAAAATATTTGCATTTATATTACTATTAAGGCTCGACTTTATTGTTTTTTGTTATTTAAGTCGTACTTGACAGACCTAAACTGACAATGAGTATGCAGATGTGTCATTTTATAACAAAAAAGACTCCTCAAAATCGTTTCAATATCGGCGATGGCATCGCATAATAATGATAAAGAAAATTTTAAAGAACGGTCGAAATTAAAACTTTAATGATAATATTTTTAAGAATTAAAATTAGATACCTCATAATGGAAGCGCTTAGCTAGCAACAGTAATTGCCGATATTTACATGTTTTCTGTAATAACATTGTAATAAATGACAAATTATCACTAATACCAAAATCTTTACTGTTCTTTTTTAATATCCCGTCTCGTTTCCTGTTTATTAGTGGCATAATGGGCAACACTAGCCCTTTACCTATATTAAAAATAAAATAACAAGTTGTCATAATTAGAACACCGAAAATTACACCACCATCTATAACAATCTATACCAATTCTGTACTTAATCTAAACACGCCAGAGATCTCGTTATCTATTCGAGCCTTATTTTCCTAAAATATAAGGGGACGTTCAAGTACTCAGTAATGCAGTTTATGCAAGGTTTTTGATTCTCCTCCCTATCCCCATGTAACACACCGTAACATTTTTCTGAACACCCCCCCCCCCCCCCCCTTCCTCACTGCTCCTCCTTAAACCTTACGTAACACCCAAGTGAATACTTACCTAAAAGTCTAAAACATGACAACACTAACGAATACTGACAAAGAAAATAAAATAAATTTGATGTACTAATACGTACTTTAGTTTTTTTTATTTAAATAAAAAAAATGTTACGTAACGCTTTATTCGACCCGCACCCCCCCCCCCTCCTGTAACTCATACAAGACCTCCCTTCCTCCCAACTTACTTTGTGCAATACTTGACCCCTACGGAACAGGGGGCCTACCATGAAATGAAATTCCGAAGTTTCGGACTCAATTTCGTGTTTTTATTAATTACCTAAATTAGCCCAGTAAATGCAGCTTAACATTTTGTTTGTCATAAATCCTACCATAAAAGTCCAAAAGAATATTAATTTAATATTTTTATGTAATTTTAACATCAAATTTGTGTTTCGTTCGGCTCCGAAATTTCGGAAAACATTTCATGGTAGGCCCTCAGATTACACCTATGCGGGTGAATTTACAACACCAGTAATGGTTCAGGAACGACTGTCTTATATTTTAGCACTTTATTAAAATATTTGTGATTCAGATCAGATCAAATTTATTTAGGCACGTCGCCTATGTTGATGTTATTATTCATTTAAATAAATTCCTAAAATCAATGACTTAGGGGATTTTTGTTTGAACATGATCAAATTAAGCAAAATCGCTGCACACTACCTCACAATTCACTCGACAATATTTTTTTTTTATACCATAAAGGTAGCAAACAAGCATACAGGCCATCTGATGATAAACGATCCATAATATTACAAAGTCAATAATTGTAATAATATGTAAATCTTCGGAATACTTAAAAATAGATAAACTACTTCCATGCAATCATTTCACACGAAAACGCCAGCGTAAACCAAGGTGCTATTCCGTTTTCATCCATTAAAAAACTTACAAGAGTAGTTAGTAAACATTCTATACTATGTATTCTAAGTTAGTAAGTAGAGATGTCATAAATAAAACAATAAAATAAAGGGTACTAAGTACAAAACAAAAGACAGATGCCTTAACAAGACACGTCACTTAAAAGTGACGTGTCTTAACGCTAAAGCGTTGGCATTAATCATGCTTTTATTATTCAATTATTGTATATTTTAGCAAACAATATTTCGCGAACGCAGTATTATTTTGTATTTAAGAGCATAGAACTGTCTGGTGTCCATCTTAAGATGTTAGCGAACCTTCGAACTAAGCTTTTGCTTAAAAATGTTGCTTTACAAACAAGCCAGGCCAGACCCTTTAGACAAGTGGCAAGAAGCGAATCCATTGAAGGAATCGTAATCTGTATCGAGTTCATGAGACAGAACGAGATAGTAATATCCGACGTCTCATTTCAACTCGAGAGTTACTTGCAATGACAACTCCATTGATGGACTCTTGTGCCCAATATCTAGAGGGGCAGGCGTCAGGTTCCAAAATAATCTTAATTAGGCCGATGGCAAACGCTATTTTGTTTTAACAGACGGCGTAGCAAAACAGCATGTTTCAAAGAACATATATCTTATATATATATATATATATATATATATATATATATATCCGTCCGTTAAACCTATCTCTTAAACTAATATTTTAAATCAATATTTCGCAAAACTACTGTTTTATGTCCCAACTGCGGTTGCCAACCCGCCTGCCACGCTTGGCAGGTTGAACATAGGCGTCCCATAAGAGGAAACGCCTATGTTCGGCAGTGGACAGTTAATGGCTGATACGACGACTGTTTTATATACCATCATATACTAAAATTATAATAAGAAAATTAGTCCATATTGTTCCTTAAATAAAAATTTTGCTGTGATATCCAGTGACGTAACTACCGGAGGGCTAGACGGGGTAGTGTCTCTGAGCCCCCAAACTCAGGGACCTCCTCAGACTCTGATTAAAAACTATTAATTGAACTAGTGAAAATTTGTCCAACATTCTATGGAGTATAAAAAACCAGATTCCAGGAATATGACTTTAATAATGGCAACTTATTTAAAAAAAATACAGGGGGATTTCCAACAAGTCTCGAACATCTTTGTTTGAAACTTGCGGGGAACTCCCCTGTATAAGAATACAATACCATACAACACCCTAAGAAGGGTGGTGTATTTTTTGCCCAAGGGCCTTTGGTTGCCTAGCTACGCCACTGGTAATACTAAATTAAAATTTTAATTTTAAAGTTAAGTTTAAAGGAATGGCATGTCAGAATCAACCCCACTGTGTCGAAATAGTCATTGACGAGTATCTAGAAAACTGTTTGACCACTCCGACTACAGTTTACATATGATTTTAACCCTTAAATGCCTGAAGTTTCAAATTTGATACCGGAGTTTGCATTGTTTCGTTGTTAAATAAATTTAAATATTTTGATTACCGTAATGCCTAAAGTATCAAAAATTATACCAAATGTTTTTTTTTTCAAAATAAATATATAAAAATATCGTTTTGACTTTTTTACTATTTTTCCTCATTAGTAAACACAGTAAAGGATACACTTATATATTTTTTAATTTGATTATAAAAATCATGCTTTTAAGGGTTAAGCATTTGAGGTTACTAGAGCCATCGTGGCTCCTGTACGTCTACATTTATCAATGGTGCCAATATGTATGACAAATGGAATAAACACAAAATTAAATTAAATATAAAATGTTGACAATAAAATTGTTACAAATGTTTCACAAGTGATTATAAAAATTACTTATATTTGATGACCACTTTTCTTTATTATTTAATTTATATTTTCTTAATTTCTATGATTCAAATATCACACTCTTTGTAAGAACAGTGTTTAACACTACTCTATAAATTGTACAAAAAATGCGCCTCTAAAGTTTGTGGTAATAAGTCAGCCTCGAAGGTGTTTGTTTTTACTTTGAAGTCCCTATAAATTAATAATTACATTAAAACAATATGTATATTATAATGCTACAAGTAAATAGGTGTTAACAATGAACAAGTACCTACTTTTTATTTAGGTCCATGACTTTTAATATTTAGTATATTCATATTGTTCAGGTTTATATTTATAAATATATTTTTAGATCTAGTAAGCACACATTAAATTTTAATGTAATAACTACTACTAATGAATAAGGATCACGAATTGATCCCAAAACAAGTCGAGCTTTCTCAATCTAACTAAACATAAGTTATACCAGTAGTTGTTACATTAAAATATGTTTTCTAGTCGTCCTATTTTAACATTTTACCACCTCTAAATAATAAAATTTAAAACTTTGTATATTTTTATTTATTTCTACATAGATAGATAGATATATAATTTATTTGCATTACTTACAACACACAAATAAGAACATAAGAAGACATAGATAGACATACACAAAAATGAAATAAAAGAATACATTTACAACAAAAAAAGAGATAAAAGGATACATATACAAAAAAAGATAAAAGAATACATATACAAAAAAGATAAAAGAGAATACATATACAAAAAAAGATAAAGGAATACATATACAAAAAAAAGGAAAATACATAAAAGAAGTAACATAATTTTTCCTTTCGTGCGTGTGCCATAATAACACAAAATAGTCACAATACAGTTTATTGCTTTGTCTCTAAAACACTGACATTCTATTATTTAAATTATTACATGTCTAGACAAACTTCAGAAGCGCATTTATATTTGACGATGAGTATATTCATATGTAAAACATTAAAACTTACTCTAATATCACTGAAAGGCTGGCAACCCAAATATTTCGGGCTGAAATTTAGCTAAAGTTGGCAATACTATTGTGGCGTGCGTTGTCAGTCTCTTGTCTAGATGGGGGTCAGGCACCATGACGACCTGCATGCCAGCTGATATTCCTGCTGTGACTCCATGAGGTGAATCTTCAAAGACCAGGCACTGAAAAATTTATGTAATATATATATATATATATATAAGAGCTATCTTATATATCTTATATATATATATATATATATATATATATATATATATATATATATGAGCTATCTTATATATCTATATATCTTATATATATATATATATATATATATATATATATATATATAAGAGCTATCTTATATATCTTATATATAATATATATATAAGATATATAGATATATAAGAGCTTGAATACAAGCTCAGTAGAATAACAAATAACATTCAAACCTTTGAAGGATCAGGCTTATCAGGAAACCGAGCGGCTGCCACCAAAAATATGTCAGGATTCGGCTTTCCAAACTTGACTTCTTTATCGCTACTTCCCATCACCATGTGGTGGAAGTATTTGAAAAGCTCCTCGTGGTGAGCTATCTTTGTGCGTACTGATCTCTCGCTGGATGAGGTAGCCAGTGCGAAGGGAACCCGAGTTTTATGCAAATGTCGGATTAATCTTTCAGCACCTGGAGTTATAACATTTAAATAAACATATTAATAAAATTGATGGACAATCATTGACATACCTAATTGAATAAGTCTCTTATTTAATTATGCTCTGCCAATTTATATCAATAGAACAGTTTGGTAATAAGGTTTAATAAGTTGATAAAACTACAAACCATCTAAGAGTGGTGTGTTTGCCAGCATTGTATCACCAAGAACAAGTAGCTGATCTCTGAATTCCTTTGGAGAGATTGGAAGATTCAGCTCCTTGCAAAGGATTTCAGATAGACGCTGCTCAGTTCCACCGAGCACTTTCATCATTAGTTCATTGGTATACTTATGACCATATTTGGCACATAACTGAGTAATCATTTTCTCATACACTTGTTCTGTATCTGTAAATTAAAATTAAAAAAGGAATTATCTAAACAAAATAAATATTTCCGAGCTAACTTATAAAACCTGCCAAGTATGTAAATAAAAAACCTATTTTAGCTATGACAGTATTTTAATTTTTTCCCTTACCCACAATTTTCAATGTAAAAGTAAATTATGAAAGCAATAATATAAACTGTTTTCTTTTTCAGCAGCTGTCGAACTTATGTTTGTTCCTCTAGCTGATCTAGCATTAGAAATATCAGAATAAATATGAGGAGCATAGATGTCACATTTTATTTTATAAACTCCATAGTGCCACTGATGATTATGATTACAGTACATAGTTATTATCTTCGAATTTTTGTCTATTCAACTTTTATAAAAAAAAAAGTTTTTATTCCAGAAACAGTTTTAAAAACAATGTTTTTATGAACTAATAAATTTAATTTTATTTATGTATGATCGTTTACTGTTGTATTTATGTTACTTTTATCTTTAAATGTTAAAGTGCGATAAAATAATATGCCAAATGCATTGAAAATCGCAATATTATTATATAAGTATGATTGTTTACATTGACAATACAGTTTAAGGTCGTCTCCTCAGATATTTAAACTCACCTAAAAGTAATCCATCCATATCGAATATGCAATGAGTGACTTTTCTGTAATTTGCAGTAGAGTAACATCTTCGGGCGAACGAATTCGCTATTGTTTTTAAAAGATAAACCCTCATGATAACTAGGTTTCTGTTATGTAAAAACACTAGGTTAACACTGTGAAAAATATTATTAGATATGCAAAATAAGTGTAATTTAATAGCCGTAAAAAATTTCACAATTATATATTATATATTTTTTTTAAATCAATAACTGCTTTATTCATGCATACCAATTAATAGCAATTAATACTATTTAAAATAATTGAATATAAAAGTGCGTTAAAATAAAATAAAGGCACTTTGAACTTAAATGTCAAATCAGCATTGCCAGATGCATATTTTCATTTCTCCCCACATTTCTAATATATTTTTTGTAAATAAATACATTATCCATTTTCCCTATGAGCAAAGAGAAAAATTGTCCACATTTCTACACAGCTATTTATTTTTCTCTTTTTCTTTAAAACTTCTCCCACAGACAATCTTTTTTCAATAAAAAAAAATATCTAAAATTATGACGAAACTACTCAATCTTGAACAATACACGTCAATCGTCTCAAAAATATTATCTTTCATACAATATTTTATACAAAAATCATTTCAATTTAAGGAAAATAAAAATATTATCAATTTTGCCTGAAGAATTGTTATAATTTTGTACTACAAAATTGATTTTACTTCCTTTTATTACAGCTTTCACTTGCAAGTTCGTCCGCGTGACCGGGATATATTTTTACTGACCGGGATAAAAAATAGCCTATATCTTTCTCCATCACATATAACAGTCTTAACAGCTTAACTATTAAATTTGATATACTTACGTGTATATCAAATTTAATAGTTAGGCTGTTAAGACGCTATAAAATAATAAACAAACTCACTTATACATTTCAAATATTAGTAATCATTTCAATTTACATTAAATTAAAGCATATAAACAATTCTCCCAACGCAATTACTTCTACAATTATTATTGTTACCTGCAATAGCAGTGCAGGTAATAGTAAATCCAAATTACCTCTGCATGAAAATCAATGTAAGTAAATAAATATAAAAAATACGCAAGAAATCACTATGTTAAATACATTATTAGACAAGCAACACTGCATAAACTCGCTTTTAGCTTACTTCGGACGGCAAAAGCAGTCGGGTCGCGACCATCATGGATCGTAGTTAGGTTGCAGTGAATCGTGCATATGGCGTATATATTACCGCTTATTCAATTTCAATTAAAAATCTTTAAACGTTATATAAATTTACGAAACCTTTGAATAGTTAAGTGTTTAACTTTAACACAAGTACTCGTTATAGGAACATGGCTGTGAAAAAGTGTTATTGTGGTAAACTGTCCCATACCAAAAAATCGATTTTTGGATTAAGTATGAGTAGCCAAATATTGTATTTACTCTTTGGTCTTGCTTTTATTGCATCTGTATCTGCAGCTGAGACTAATTGTACCACTGTGAGAGATATTTTTAATAGACGAGGATTATTTACAACTTTGGAGCTACAAAAGGAGCCAAATTCAGGTGAGAACTTTGTTCCAAATGTGATAATGTTAAGTGATATAATATTTGATATACAAATTGATTGCACTAGTCACATACATACTGATAAATGTGTTAGTATACACAGGTATCATATTTCATTAGTTTGTTACCGATTTGCACGTTTTTGCTAGTCGTATTTATAGACCTGCTTCGTAGTGTTGTAGTAAATGTGTAGATAAATAGATGGTTTGGAATTTTAAGTAACTAGTATTAGAATTTATAGTAAAAATCTATATATGGTCAATATATACACTTTCATTCAGTTTCAGTATTTAACAATTAAAGTTATAAAGTATCTGATTTTTTTTTTAAATAAGTACTTACTTATATTTATGTACATTACCGGACATACATCCGATACATTAACTTTGGTGTAACTAGGTGTAAGTACCTACTTACAATTAGATCAAAATAAGATAGGAAAAAAATATTAATGAAAAATGCCATGGAAGTAGGTACTAGAGATAAAAGTAATCTACATTGATACTCTCTTCCTTCTAGTGTTATCGATGCCAAGTAGCAATGCTTGCATATTTCTTGCTTGCATATAAGTTTATAGAGACATGACATCTCAGTTGTCAGGAATGCTAACACGAGAATTGCATCAGAGTGTAATTTGTGATGTCCACAATGCATATATGTGGCTATATAAACGACGGTTACATCTTTCTATAAAGACAACCGTCAGGTTGCTGGCAATTTCAAGTTACATGAAAAGGCATGCTCTTATAAAAAAAAAATGTAGCATTTGTGACTGAAAGAATAACAGGCATTAACAATATAAACTAAACAATTTACATAAAAGAGCTATTTCATTTACGTATAAAATATATATCGTATCCTAATATACCTATAGAAGATAAATAGTTAAGTGGCAAACGTAAAATGGTGATAGAAAATGACTCCAGTTTACAGTTCGTTAACAGCTACCACTTAAGAAACACTTCACTTTTCCTTAACCAACAGCTGCTTATCTAATACAGAGGAAATGATAGTAAAAGAACCGGTAGCTATTGTTAAAACTTTGAGCGAAGGGAATGTTTCAAATAATCCCGAGATAAGAATGTACCAACCTTCTACCTGCTAAGTTACAAGTCCAGACAAGAATTCCTCTTTAAAATTTTACCAATAATACATACGAGTCCTTATGAATTTAATATTTTATTATTTCTATCAATTGTTAACAAATTTTACTTTAGTGTGACTTAAAATGACTATTTAAAATGCTTAAATTCCAGTTTACTCGAATAAGAATATTTCTTTCTTTGTTTCTTTCTGAGTTTGAAAGTTCGAAATAATTGTTTACTCTAAATTGTTGTATTTAAAGTGCATGCCTTATAAAAAGTGGGAGAACCCTTTTATCAATATTATCTCTATATTACTATAGTTGCATTTACCTGCACAGTAAAGATAAAATTTAACGTTTTGTTACATCGACATTTGTGCTACCTTATGGACTACAAATACTTATATTTAATCGGCACCATGGTCGAACTTCTAAACCCTGTTGTTTATTAACAAAATAAACATCATACATACAGCAGACGCGTAGGTGTGGTCGATACAGTAGGCGGAATTGTGAAATGCACAAGTTGCGCCATAACTATCGGATATACTCGAAGATGATTCTGCGAAGTAAACCTTACGAATACATCTTCAGAAATCAATTTCAAATGAATCTCTATAACTGCAGAGCCAAAGTTGAATTTACAGTGGTCGCGATGTCAATGTCAAAATCATCTTTGAAGTTAGAGCCGCAACTACGAGTAGTAAGCAGGCAGTGGTGTGTCGAGAGTGTGGGCGAAGTATCCGCTGCACGGAAGGTACAAACACGATTCGACATGGTTTTCAGACAGTTATTCCGATTTATGGGAGCATTAAAGCAGGAATTAATAGTCGTTTATGGAAAAGCTCTTTGAATGCTGTATTAAGTTAATTTGACTGACAGTTTTATTTAATATAATAACGTCATTACTTATTGATTTCATAAACATTCTCTGTTGGAAATGTTAATTCTTACCTAGTAAACTATTCCAAGACAATGTAAAATATCAAATAGTAAAATGTAATCCAATTTACTTTATCAGAAGACTATAGCTTATTCTTATATTTTTGGTTTTTAAACATATCATTTGATAAATGACCATTAAAGAGATAATGGCTATATTGCATTTAAAATTTAGCTATTGCAAGATGATAACGTCCAAATTCAATTCTAATGAGAGTACTTATTAGAATTGAATTTTACAAAACTCTACCTAAAACTATCAGTGATAATTTCTCTTTTTGCTTTGTGTTAGGTTCAGAATTACAATTTTAGTCTAAGAAAAACTCTTAAATGTAAAAACAAAATAGGTAAATGGTTTCTACATAACATTTTATCGTTGATAAGTTAACTATTAAAATAAGTACTTAATCACAGCCGTGAGCATATTTCTCAATAAGGACAAGGCTAATAAATTTATAAGTCCTGCCGAGACTTGCGAACTGATTAGCATGCAATACTTGATCTCAGGTACTTCTAACGGCAGGTTGTCGCGACAACTACCGGCTTTTATGCATTTGCAGACTTCTAATGTACATCGTCGGTATTATGAAGCGGCAGTTAGAATACCGGAAAGGAGTATAATAGACAATTCATTTGACTGTCTAGTCCAAATGCGTTTTAGAGTTTAATTCGATAGTTTTCCTGTAACCAGGGCTGTAGCTAGACCCAAGTTTAAGGTAAGGCAAAAAACTTTTTGGTAGGGTAGAAGCCATAATTAAGTGACTTGGAAAAAGCAAATCTACCTAATTTTCTTGGGGCATTGGGACTTTTAAGGTAAAGGCATTGCCCCTTAATGTCCTACCCCCCCCCCCTGCCCTAAACTACAGTCATACCTCAGCTCATACTCTGAGGATTCCATACTATGATCTTTTTATTGTGAGAGCTATAATCCAACCTTTCTATGTGAACTTGAATATAAACTGTATTGTGTGTCAATCTAGGATGTGATATATTTGTGTCTAAGTTTCGATACCGATATCTTCCATTTTTACATATAAAAAAAAATACTGACAAGTAATTTATACTATGTGTCTATGGTCGAGACCATTTAGTTATTTCAGTGTATTTGAATAACAAATTTTTTTTGTATGTAAACGAAGTTTCTCAAGATATTCAATAATCTTCACGAACGTTCATATTTATAATATTACTAGTTTATATTTGAAAATATACTTTCTTAATAATATAGAGAAGTTTTGAAACACAGATTTTTTAAATAAATATAATGTAATAATATTATCCGTCTTTGTCATTTATGTAAATAATTGTTAGAGGTCAGTTACCTCTATTATCCTGACATAAACTACCCCACCTTGTAACCGAAGAAAACGGGAGGGATGGATATTCTTATCGCTAGATTGAATATCCTGTTTGAATTATTTCAAACTAACCTATCTATCATGTCACTGCACTGATAGATAACAAGTTGCAGCAGGAGTTTAAACTTATGAAATCAAGAATGTAGTGTCACATTATAGTATGCCTTATTTGGTATTAGGTAATAAAAACAGTTTTTTTTTTACCAAGATTTTGTCATTTTTTATTCATATTAAAATACTTCATACATAATTTTTGCTTTTAGTTGTCTAAAAAAGGACCTGGTACAGGTAATACATATAAATATATCTTAATGTAAATTAAAACTTTTTCCGTCGGAAAATATAGTTCCAAATTAGGTACCATTACAGATAATTTACACTAATAATTACTACATATACAATAAATAATAAAACATACAATACATAAACAATAATTATTATTAAAATAATACTTTATAAATTAATTATTTAAAAATATTATATTCTTTACTTATGTCACTTTAGCACTGAAACATGTAATAGGGTTGTACACGATAAGGGCGACGCGAGAGCTAATCTCAAACTAATAAGCTAAAAATCAAATTAGTACATGTCTATAGTTTCTTTATGTACTAGGTGGAGCTAGCGGCTTCGCCTGTTTGACCCGCCTTCACTATCGATACTCGCTGGCGGGACACCAGTGAGTGATTATAGGTTAGGATGAAAACAGTTAAGTTAGCCAAGCGTGACAAATTTATTAAGAATTAATAAAGATAGTGTCCACGCATTTCTCGCGTGGAGGTTGATCTGAGTTGGTATCACAGCATAAACGCCTCCCCCTCCCCCCTTCCCCCATCATTCAAGGTAAAGATAAAATCAGTCAAAGGAATACTGAATTTGTAAATAAATTAATTGGGCATATTTTAGATTATAAATGATGTATACGTAATGAAATAACTTTCACCCACTTTTCTATGGATAGCGTACTGAATCGAGCAGTGGGTGGACAGGTTGACATTGCCCGCTGCTGTTGGGTAAACATGGGCAGGTCGACAACCTAGAGCAGGAATTTTGTTATTGATTAACCTAGGTACGATTACTAATTTATTACTTCACGTTTCATTGTGAAATATTCTGTGATAGTGCCGTTGTGTAGGTGCTAAAATGTTTGACTCTGTAGCAGTGTAACGTGGGAATTAAGTTGATAATTACTGGCAACACAGCAATGATAGTAGATGTCACGGGCTGCTATTTTTTTCTAAAAAGTTATTCCTTGAATCGTTATTATTATTAAAAAAAATAGGTGCCGCTTACGTGTTACTGTTATCTGTTCTGAGTTATTATAGATCTGTATTAATGTAGATAGATAGATAGATACTCTGTATTGTTTCTTCCAAAAGATTACAATAGTTAACTTATAGATATAAACAATTACAAGAAATGATCATAGTAAAAAAACAATGGGCGACCTTACCGATAAAAGCTATATGTAAGTTGAAGAAATTAAAATAATGCCGTTGTTACACATTGGCATCTAGTTTTAAATTAAGCAGTACTCGTATTATGAATGCCAGACAACTGATAGGCCTATTTATATACGTACTTGTTTTGTAAATACATAATAACCAAACCAA